GTTATTGATAATTTTACAATGGTTGGGACTGGGCTGTTCTTATAGCGATCTGCCCGTGCACGTATGGGCTGGATGCGGTTGTGGTGTCGAACAGCAATTCTCGGACTGGGGATCTCAGGTGGTAGTAGGAGCCGGTGTCGAGGATGGTAGAAGCTTCTACCAAATTTGCAGATGAGGTCGTGGTGATGGTCAGTGAGAGTCGAAAGGGTCAGTGTGTGTTGAGCGCTTCTTGATATGTGGAGTAGGAAGGGAGAGAATAATCTTGCATGCCCTCTTTTGCACTTTTCTAGGTGTTTACGTTGTGTGGCATTTAGGAGGAAGACCAGGTGGGGAGGCATAGGTGAGCTTGGGAAGTATGAATGTTGTGTAAACACTGAGGAGCTCGGTGCAGGAACTCCGAGGACTTGAGTCGGCGGAGGAGGTGGAGACGGAAACTGGAGGATTTGACAACTTCACTGACGTGGTTTCCAATTTAGTTTGTTGTCTATGGTGACGCCGAGGAGCTGTGGAATCTACAACCTGGAGTGTGTTCGACCTAGAGTAATGGAAGGAGGTGGGACAATGTCGGAGGAGAGGTTGATGTGCATAACCATGGTCTTGGTATGGTTGATGGTGACATGGTTGTTGGTGGCCCAGTTTTGGAGACTGTTCAATAAATCCTGAAGGGCGGTATAGTTGATAGCAGAATTGTTGACGCTGATCCCAATGGTGGAGTCGTCGACATATTTCCAGCGAGCAGGGGTTTCTCTTAGGGCATCATTGATGAGCATAAGGAAGCAGAGTGGTCCCATCTTGGTGCCTTGGGGGACGCCACAGGTGAGTGTATGGTGTGTGTGTGTGTTTAGGCCATCTATCAGTGTTGGCATGGCCCAGTCTCTTACACCTTGACAAAAGAGACATAAAACGAGCTAGAATACACTTAAACAATTGCCTTATTAGGAGGAGAGACGGAAGACACGTAGAAAACAAGTGTCCATTTATTTTGCTTGGAGCAAGAAAGAGAGTTTAGAAATAAGTGCACCATTTCGCGTGAAGCTTAGCGTACGGTAGAACTTCCATGCCATTATATTAGTGTATAGTGGACCTCCCATAATGGTAGAGTATGTAGGACCTCCCATAAAGGTAAGTATGAGGTGGACCTCCCACTTGTGGTAAGAGTATGGTGGACCTCCCATAATGGAGAGGTGGACCTCCCATAATGGTAGAGTATGGTGACCTCCCATAATGGTAGAGCATGGTGGACCTCCCATAATGGTAGAGTATGTAGGACCTCCCATAAAGGTAGAGTATGGTGGACCTCCCATAATGGTAGAGTATGGTGGACCTCCCATAATGGTAGAGTATGGTGGACCTCCCATAATGGTAGAGTATGGTGGACCTCCCATAATGGTAGAGTGTGGAGGAACTCCCATAATGGTAGTGTGTGGAGGAACTCCCATAATGGTAGAGTGTGGAGGAACTCCCATAATGGTAAAGTATGGTGGACCTCCCATAATGGTAGAGTGTGGAGGAACTCCCATAATGGTAGAGTGTGGAGGAACTCCCATAATGGTAGAGTGTGGAGGAACTCCCATAATGGTAGAGTGTGGAGGAACTCCCATAATGGTTGTGTATGGAGGACCTTCCATAATGGTAGAGTGTGGAGGAACTCCCATAATGGTAGAGTATGGAGGACCTTCCATAATGGTAGAGTGTGGAGGAACTCCCATAATGGTAGAGTATGGGGGACCTCCCATAATGGTGGAGTATGGAGGACCTCCCATAATGGTAGAATGTGGAGGAACTCCCATAATGGTTGTGTATGGTGGACCTCCCATAATGGTGGAGTATGGTGGATCTCCCATAATGGTAGAATATGGTGGACCTCCCATAATGGTAGAGTATGGGGGGCCTCCCATAATGGTGGAGTATGGAGGACCTCCCATAGTGGTAGAATATGGTGGACCTCCCATAATGGTAGAGTATGGGGGACCTCCCATAATGGTGGAGTATGGTGGATCTCCCATAATGGTAGAATGTGGAGGAACTCCCATAATGGTTGTGTATGGTGGACTTCCCATAATGGTTGTGTATGGTGGACCTCCCATAATGTTTGTGTATGGTGGACCTCCCATAATGGTTGTGTATGGAGGACCTCCCATAATGGTTGTGTATGGTGGACCTCCCATAATGGTTGTGTATGGTGGACCTCCCATAATGGTTGTGTGGTGTGGACCTCCCATAATGGTTGTGTATGGTGACCTCCCATAATGGTTGTGTAGTGGTGGACCTCCATAATGGTTGTGTATGGTGGACCTCCCATAATGGTTGTATGGTGGACCTCCATAATGGTTTGTGTGGGTGGACCTCCCATAATGGTTGTGTATGGTGGACCTCCCATAATGGTTGTGTATGGTGGACCTCCCATAATGGTTGTGTATGGTGGACCTCCCATAATGGTTGTGTATGGTGGACCTCCCATAATGGTTGTGTATGGTGGACCTCCCATAATGGTTGTGTA